AGCCTAGCTCACAGCAACCTCAAACTCCTGGGCTCAAGCAATCCTTCTGCCTCAGCCTCCCGAGTAGCTGGCACTACAGGCATGCACCACCATGCCCGGCTAATTCTTTTATATATATATATTTAGTTGTCCAGCTAATTTCTGTTTTTTTTTTTAGTAGAGACGGGGTCTCGCTCTTGCTCAGGCTGGTCTCAAACTCCTGAGCTCAAATGATCCTCCTGCCTCAGCCTCCCAGAGTGTTAGGATCACAGGCGTGAGCCACCATGCCCGGTCAGGTCTTCTATTCTTTACTGGTTTTAGGAAAATTATCATAGATTCCATTTCACTGAGAGTCTATCATTTTATGGATGTATTTGTAAGATGCCAAGTCCACAGGAAAGGATGACAAAGCTTACCGCCTTGGTCTTTCTCAGCTCCTCTATTTGCAAGGTGTCACTGTCATGTTGTTTCAAGAGCTCCTAAAAACATTTTAATTTGGAAAAGGTCAGCACTGTGGTTCTGACATTTTTTTTCAGGAAGTTAAGGAAGCTAGAATAGGGTTCAGAAATACAATATTGACCAAAGCTTAGACATTGGTATAATGAAGCACATGTTATAAACTAATGACGTGACATGTTGAGGTTAATGAAAATCTTATGTACGTGCGACTTTATCACATTGACAAATATTAAAAGAAATTGTTTTCATCAAAAGCTTTTTAAAAGTTAGTGTACATATTCAGTACTGTTAACAATTCGATTCTCCACAGATTAATCTTTAGACTCAATGCATTCCCAGTCAAAATAGCAACAGGCTGTCTTGGCAAACTAACTCCAAATTGACAAGCTAGTTTTAAAATTTATATAAAAAACAAAGGATGTAGAAAGGTAAAATGATCTTGAAAAACAATAACAAAGTTAAATGATCTTTACTACTACTTAAGCTTCAGTAATTAAGACAATGTGTTGTTGACCTAAGTATAGACAAACAGTCAAATGGAACAGAATGGAGAGTCTGACCCCCCACCACCAAAATATTACAAAGACACCAAGGTAGCTCAACAGGGAAAGGAAAGTCTTTTCAAAAAATGGTGCTGGAAAACTGTATATTCATATGGAAAAAAAATGACCTATGACCTCTACTTCAGTCTATACACAAAAATTATTCAAAATGG